TCTCCACCATTTCTGCTGTTATTACAAATTCTTTCATTTCAGCTTCTTTTTTATTCTTATCCACCTCCATTATCCAAACTGCATTCTTGTTGTATTTCTTTGGGTTGTCTCATAGCTGCGCCCAGAACTGCACTGTTGGTTCTTTGTCGGGTGTTGACTGGTTCATTGCAGTCTCTCCATCGATGGATTGGTAGAAACATTTCTGATTTGATTGAAACTGGAGATTCTACCTATAGTGTGCAATTCGAGGTTCGTATCTTTTTGGCTATGGTTGTTATTTGCTGCTTTATTATTTCCAGTGCTTCTTTGATCTTCCCTGTTTCTAGGAGATATTTCTTGATCAGGTATTCTTTGGTCTTGTTCTTCAGCTTCTTTCTTTCATCTACTCTAGCTTGCTTGCATCTGATCTTAGCATGCTGATCTTATTTTCCAACCTGATCTTCCATTTTGGTGGTGTACTGTTTGGCTTTTTTTCTTGTTTGTTGATTTTGTATCCAAGCTATTTAGTTATCACTGCAGCCGTGCTGTACATTAGTTGGTTTGTTTCTTTCAGCAAGTTGGTGTTTTTATTGTTGTTGTTGTTGTTGGTTGCACAATCAGCCAGATGTTTAGATTTGATTTGGCATTTTTATCCACCTATCGATTCCTTCCCAAGGACCTGGGATAGGCAGATGTTGTTTGATGGTGGTGGTGTTGCTGCTGTTGTTGTTATTAGCATGTTGAGGATAGAAAGACATTAGTTTCTCTATGAGGTTGACTTTTTTAGCTAAATAATTATGTGAGCAACACTCTGCTAATGCATACAAACAGAATTTCAGCTCTCCTTCCCCTCTTTTGCCATCTGCTTTCACAAGATGGAGTATAGCAAATTGCTTTATGACCTAACTGCTTTACCATTCTAAGATCAACTATCTCCCTGTTCTGCTAATATGATGGTGGAACTGTCCTAAGTTGTAGCTAGGTGTATAGCTAATACTAAATTTCCCAAAGCAACCAGGGCTGGCTCTAGGCTAAGGCCAGTTAGGCACCGGCCTAGGGGAGCTAAATTTTAGGCCTGGCAAGCTCCCTTCGGCAGATGAGGCTCCACCTCCCTGCTGTGCTCACTGTGCTTATCCCAGGGCTACGCCCTCACCCAGCGCCTGGATCCCAGGTCAGCAGCAGGAGGTTGAAAATGTGAAGGTCAGCTGTGAGCAGTGGGGGGTGGCAGGTGTAGGTGGCAAAGTGCAGAGCAGCCAAAAGGGCAGAGAGGGGGGGGGGGAAGATGGGGGGGAGTTGAAGCCCCCTTGCAGTCCCAAATGCAGGCATACTGTCAAGTGCTCCAATTTTGATTATGTGACCACAGGGATGCTGCAATGGCCATAACTTTGGGGACCAGTCGTACCTACATTTTTTCAGCACGGTCATAACTTCAAACTGTTGCTGAATGGTCATAAATCAAGGACTACCTGTAACAGACTGTATGTGCATGTCTCTCAGTTCTTTTCCTGCCTTAAGTTATCACAAGTACAGTTTGTATGGTTGGGAGATCACATGACAGGATGGCAGATGGTATTTATTTTCTCCATTCTGTCACAATACTAAATGCCATGCTTTTATCACAAGATGCTTTCTTTTGCAAAGTCACAATATAAAGACTAGTTATGTTTTGTAAATTATGTTATTTCAAAGTTGCTTTGAAATTAATAGAATTTTATGAGCAGGCATTCAGTATGACATTGGCATATGAAATAAAAATAAAGATCCATTAAAATACAACACCTCTTTCCTAGGAGAGCATTTTAAATGTGAACTTCAACAATTTAATTTCCCATTGTGCTAGATCCTTTTTTCTTTCACAGCTAGACTAATTAGATTTTTTTTTCTTTTTCTTTACTGGAATACCATACTATTTTAGTTCAAAAATCCAATTCCTTCATATATCTCTAATAGTGCACTCAGCAAACTGTCATATGAATGTGGACAGAATACACAACCTTGGGCCACTGTGCGCAGTTATTCAGACTGAGCATTGCACAAGGGCATCACATCTAAGGGGGCACCAGCAAAGTGCAAGGAATCAGTGACACTTCCCTTATTTATTTATTTATTTACTTATCATATTTATATATCCCATCTCACCGTAAAGTGACTCTAGGCAACTTAGAATAAAAACAATCATAACATCAAAATATTAAAGCAAATACAATTAAAAGACATCAACGATATTATTAATAACAAGATAGTCAAGAGTTGTCATGGTCTGGATAAAACAAATGAGTGATCCACTAGCAGAAGGGAGGACCCTTGAGTGGCTCAGCGCGTAGGCGTGGCCAGCTTGTCCCTGAGGAGGTTGCTCACTTGACCAAACAGGATGGCACATGAAACAGCAGGCCCACATGCTCCCCACTTTCTCCATTTCAGGGACACCTTTTTAAAATCTGCACAAAAGTGTCTTGTGCCCTCACAGCAGCCCTGACATGACAGCTAGTATTTTGTAAAGGATAAGATGCAGATGGTTGCAACTGGAAAAAACATTATTCATAGAGGTCTAACAATGCAGACTCTTCTTCCTAAGTTATGAGTAGTAATAGATGTGAACAGATTTTGAGAAACAGATTTTTACCTGAAATGTTTAGGATGGAGCATTTTAGTATATCCTCTACATTAAATCAAAATATTACTAGAAAATGCCTGAAAAGTTTCATATGAATAATAATCTAAGCAATATATCTGGCAGTAGTGTCACCTGGAATGTAGTATATAATGTTGATTATATTATACAGTGCAGGAAGTTTGTAAACTCATGTTTGTGTGCCTGTTTTTTTTAAAAAAAAACTTTTCTTTTACATACCTGCAAATGTCACCTTCTGTTCCACTTACTGGAATTTCTGTACATTCATTGTTATCAATAGCCCACTGTTGCCCAGCAGCACAGCAAGTTTCAATTAAATCTTTCGTTGAATCTGAAAAATAGCAGATATATAGCTACATGAAATATGTTTGGGATATCAGAGCAAATAAGCGGGGCCTATAAAAGAATATTTTGTTCAGGAAGCCACTATAAAGGATTTTGGCCACTCCATTCTATTGCCCTTTCTCCATCCTAGATTTCTATGATGATATTTCAGTAAATAATCGGAATTCCATGAACGCTGAGCATGCTCAATCGGCATTGGGCTGTTTTATGTATATATGTTTTGTTAAATATTTCTCACCTGTCCTATATCATAAATACCATGGTAAAGAATATCAATAGAATAAACATCAGTCATTCTTCATGACGTACAACTCCCAGCAATGGGACATAGAGAAGAACCTTTCAGCTGATCTTAATACTTGGGTGAGTGGAACTTCTGAAATCATTTGGGGTTCTATAGTAACACTTTGAACTAAGACTGGAAGCTTGTGCTTCTGCCTTCCTCCCCAACTTTAAAGGTTTTTGGAATCTTTGAAAACTTGGGGTTCTCACTCAAGTCCACTGATACCATTCTGTTGTGTGTGAGTGTAGTGCCACTTTGGTTATGAAAGCTACTCAAGAATTAGAATAGACTTCATATGAGCCTGATTCTTGTTGCCTCTTGCCCCCCAGATGATGGACTCTAGTGATGGCTAGTGTGGGTTTCTATGAAAGATTTCCAATGATGTACTTCTGTAGACTTTAACAATCTGATTAACTATAATTGAGGCTTCAAACATTACACAAAATCTAGAGAGCAAATCCTACTGAACATAATGTCTTATTTCTGAATAGACATATTATCATTCTTCTGTTCTAAATGGTACTGTCCACTCACAAGAAATAGGGATCAGCAGGCTCAAGAGAACATCAGTGTTTCAAAAATATAACTAAATATATATGGAAATAGATCTCCAAATGAACATAATGAGAACTACATTCAGTGGACACAGAATATTGGCTGACTGCTGAACAAGGGAGGGAACAGAAAAGAAATAGTATATCCTGGAAAATGGATGGATGGATGAAAGCCCTCTACGCTGAAGTATTTTCTTTCAGATTGTATTTAAATGTAGTACATACTACATATGTAGTAGCTAAGTCATTGGACTAAGACTGAAGAGAACCAATTCAAGTCCATATTCAGGTACAGAAACTTGCCAGATGGGTTTTGGCTAATAATGACTTACTCTTTCAGCCCAACCTGTCTCGCAGGATTGAGACTGTGGGGATAAAATTGGAGAAAGAACCACTATATGAACTATCTTGAGCAACAGGAGGTAAAGGAGAATTTAAATCTAATTAAGCCTCTGACATTTTTAGTTAATGCATTTTTATACATGCCATTCCCTTACAACTCTAAAACAAAGCTGCTTATTCATTTCCACCAACATAGACTTCCAACAGCTCTTTCTAATGGAGCTTGGCAAATCAGATTTCTGAGAGCATACAAAAAAAGAAGCTATGCCACAGCAGATAGCAGACAGCATTGCCAATGGTAGCACAGGGAGCATCTCAGATTCAAAACACAAAGTTTTAAAAAGTTGACTTTTTTAAAAGAATCAATCAATCAATCAATCACTATGATGGAAGAACAGCTATCTTTCTTTCTCAAACTGGTGTTATTTATAACATGATCTAGAAAGTTTCACAAATATTTTGGAACATATTTATGAAGCTTTCTAGGTCATTTTACAAATAAAACCAATTTGAATTAGCCTGTTTTATCTAATGATATGAACAAAAATGTAATATACTGACCCAATACTGACCAACTATTTAAGAATGATTTATCTTTGTAAAATCATTGTCCAAGTAGTGTTACATAAGGCATCACTGGTCAAATATTAATTGAAGAGAAAATTCCTCTGAGGCCATGAAGTCCTCTCATTTGGAACAGTCTGAATTTTGCTGGTCCATATGCCTTCTGATGCTCAGGCTCGATACAGAAGGTTAATAGGATAACTTTAGATTGAGTAGTTTATGCCCATAATTTGAGACATACTAAATTAGCTGTCCAGTTGAAGAAATGGTTGAAGCTCATGAGCCACTCAAGAGTTCAGTCTATCATCAAAACAGGTATAAAACAGAAAGGTTTGTCATCATTAAAAATTTTAATTCTTCAATTAGTTAAAATGTTGTATATGTCATATTAACATCCAAAGTAAACCAAGATAAGTGCATACAAGTAACACTTCCAAATGTAATTGGGATATTACTGAAAGACTAATTAGTGCTTCCAAGTAGAACAACAAATTACAGTTGATAAACATTAATTCACATGTATTTTGTTGCCAAAGCTGAATTTAACCCTCATTCTAAATACTCAATGGCATTAATGTCTGAAACCATAGGACACTTAGGTCCTTACAGTCACTGATTAATTTGCTCCTTGTGCTAGATTTCATCCAAAAAAATTGCAAAAAAAAAAAAAAAACCCTGCAGTTTTAATTTCTGCTCAGAAGAAAAACTTGGAAAGAGAATAGAAAAAAGAAAAGAAGTTGAGTCTGAAGTACAAAAGAAGACAGCTTATGAAAGTAATTTGAAAAAGAGCAGGTAGAGAAGAAGGGATCAAATCTTCTCCTCTGAGTGGGAGTCATGATCCAGATGAAGGTCCTTCTGCACATACTTATAAATCAAATGGAAGGGGGCCAGGACTGGTTAGGTCTTCTTTGGCCTGAAGCCTTTTCTGAAATACATTAGGTGAAAAACCTTTTAGTTGGTTTACCTTTCAGGAACTAAGAAAGATGTTTGAAAAGTTTTATTATAAAGCAGAATCAGGGAGATGCGTGGTGCTTACATTATCTTGTCTAATTTCCTGCTGTGGAGATATTCTGCTCTAAATTATCTCTGAAATGGAATATTGTGATGGGAGATATTACCTGGTACAAGGCCAAAGAAAGAGAGGACCAAGGGTAGGAAATTCTGTTTAAACTGTCCTGATCACCATATCATTTTTGTTCCCATTCTGAATTTGAGTATTATTTTGTTCTCTGAAGCAGAGTATGGTACAAGTAAAACAAAAATACGTTTCCATAAGGTTACTTTTCTAAACTTGAGATTAATACTGTTGAATTAACCTGGATCTTTTCCACCATTAGACTATTCATCTCCCACTGTGATACAGCAAACTGAACATCATGTTGGCATCCTATGTGGAATCATATCTAGGTTCTGAAATCAAATCTAATAAGTTGGATTTCTCCTTCATACAACTTTTTCCCACAATGTCCAGGTAATTCTGATGTTCAAGTATTTGAATCAAAATCTGAAATCTAGGGATAGAGTAAAATTTGATGGCTGATAATTGACTGTGGCTTTGTAAAATGGTTAGTCTCCTTCAAATCAGCCTTGGCTAATGATGACTATTAGTAACACCCTCATAATTTTCCTGATAATAGTATGAAAATGATTTGCCATTGTCTGTCTTCTTCTAGGATCTGCTTATAACTTTCCAGTCCAGCTCACAACCCTGGACTTTCCTGGCAGTTTCTCTTCCAAGTGTTAATCAGGCCTGAATTTGTGAGCTTCTGAGATCAGCTAAGATCACTAGGTGCTACCTTCTAGTTGAAGGAAGATGAGCTGGCATTGAAATAATTAAATTGTAGATGATTCTAGCATGGAGTGCTATATCAACAACATAACCAAGTAACTGGATCAAGTGCAAATGCTGAATATGCATTTCGTTCAAAGAATGATTGATTGAAGTTGGAGAATGACATCCCAAGGGAAGTAAAAATAGTTTCATTATAGAGTTTAGTCTGTTGGTGGCCCTCGACCGAGTTACATCTGGAAAGAGTTTTCCTGTTTCTGTTGATATTTCATTCCAGATCAGTTGATCTTCCAAATCTTCACTGATATTCCCTATCTATTTGGAAGCAACTGCTATTGTGACTAGTATCTCATGTTTTAAAATTGTATAACTAACATTGAAGAGCTCCAACATTTTAGGGATTTAGGTTTGGAATTCTGAAAACATATTATGGATGCTTTCACAAATCAGCTGGGGGGGGGGTGCCCATTCACAAAGCTGCCATGAGGAACATAACCAGTTGCAAAGTGCCACTTTCATAAAATGCTAGCTGCACTTATTCTAGCCCCCCACCCCAATCCTACATGTTCCATACTATCTTACATGACTTTATCCTTTAGGCAGGTGGGCACACTTCCAGAGAAAGCCTTGGTCTGTAGTTACTCATCCTTGTTTATTTTTTAAAGGAAAGTTCTGGGGTCCATGTGGGATCCAGAGCCACTCTTGAATATAAAGTTGATGGAGGTTGGCACTTTGTTTTGCAGCATGTCTGCTTCTAATTTTTAAAAATATTTTTTTAATGTAAATGTCAGAGCCTGACAGATATCAAAGGAAATTCCTGCATGCGTATTAGGCCTTGGGCACCACATTCATAATTGCAGGCTTAACATGAAGACAAACAGGCAAATACCTTGAATGGAACTCTGCTTATATAGCCACAATTACACATACAAGTATTTATGTACCAATTTCCCTTTCACCATTTTTTCTTCCTTCTTATAAGTTTCTTGTATCACCTTCAAAATTCATGCTTTCATACATTGCTTCCTCCTAGAATCTCTCTTTTAAGTCTTTGCTCTGCTTCCAGTAATAGGATCATTTAAATTAATCTGTGTTCAATAAATAATTCAGCTATGCTTGGCTTTTCAAATTAAAAATCTGGAATGCCAAAAGGCATACATAAAATGGGATAAATAGATGTCTCTCCTTATCTCATGTGCAGAACAGAATAACCATCAGGCTGAATTATCTGATTGACTTTGTTCCTAAAACAAATGAACAGCTAATATCCTCCTGGACCATAGTGGTGGATAATCATTCTACTTTGAATTAGCCAGGACAGAGGTCAACTAATTTAGCATGCTTCGTTTATATTTTCATGAGACCATGATTTTTAATGCTAAGCTTGAATGGAAGTGAAGAAAGGCTCTGCAGATCCTCAAAAGTCCTTCAGCTTCGAAACCTCTGTTCTATCC